CCCGGTCCCGCTCTTCAGCAATAACCACTCCCGAGTCAGCCGACGGAGGGAGTCGCCAGGGCTTGCTGGGGCTCCGCGTCGAGGGAGCGCAGCGAAGACCCCTGGCTGCGAGGCGCTACGTTTCCCTAGCTGCCACTGAGCGAGGTTGAGGGTTTCCCGAGAGGGGCTGCAGCATGTGGGGAGAGCCGCAGATGGAGTTTTCTGGCCACCGGGCTCCACGCCAGCCCGAGGGAGTTTTCTGCCGAGTTTCTTCCCTGTGAAGCAAACCAGGGCAAGGCTCACCACAGGGAGCCCAGCCTCAAGCCTGGTGCCCTTTCAAGGCAGACTGGGGGGGTGTTGCAGCCGTACATGCCGTGAGACAGGGAGCAAGACTGCCCCTTGGAGGAGGACTCAGGAAACGTGGCCACCACTCCCTCTCTGCCACTGACTCACTGAGTAATGCTGGGCAAGTCACTTCACTGCTCAGGCGCCCCGTCGGGCTAATGGGGATCATGAGAGCGGCCCGGAGCTGTACAGCTGAAGCGTGCCAGGCCTGAGCCAGGCCTCTCGCGTAGCTGGCGCACTCCAGGGACACCTGAGTAGGCTGCTCCCGGAGGCCTGCTCCCGTTCATTTGTGGAACTGTCACTGCAGGGCTGGCCTGCGGCTCTGTTTAAGGAAGTGCAAAGGCCCTGGTGCATCAGGGACAGGTGTTTTCCCCTCCCAACACCCCCAGCTGGCAGACAGGCCCGCCAGCTGGGGAACAGGTTCTCCCAGCTGCTGACCAGGTGCCAGAGCGAGCAGCAGCACGAGGCAGGGAGGCCGGAGGGGCGGGGGGGTTCTGGAAGTCCTGAGAGGCAGGCTAGCTCGAGCGGAGGGGAAGATGCGAGAGGCTCACACAGGAAATTCGAGGCACGGAACGAGTGCTCCGCTTCCCCTCCCGCCTCAAAAATAGAAAAAAAAAAAGTCGGGGCGGGGGGGGGACCAGGTGCCAGAGCGAGCAGCAGCACGAGGCAGGGAGGCCGGAGGGGCGGGGGGGTTCTGGAAGTCCTGAGAGGCAGGCTAGCTCGAGCGGAGGGGAAGATGCGAGAGGCTCACACAGGAAATTCGAGGCACGGAACGAGTGCTCCGCTTCCCCTCCCGCCTCAAAAATAGAAAAAAAAAAAGTCGGGGCGGGGGGGGGGGGCGGTTCCG